AAAAAATCTGAAAGAGTTTGAAAACAATAATCATGACAATATGTTGATACATGAAATTTCAATGATTTTCATTTCTTCAAATTTTTTAACAAACTTTTCGCAGCTACACTTTTAAATGCTGGTAGTTCACCGTCAGCAGAGTTTGTTACAACTAATACCGAATAATATAGTATTTCATTGTAAAATAAGCTGTCGAAATCCGTAACTGTATTCTTTTCTATTTATTAAGATAAGTTTTCTTTTGCTACTTTATTACTACTACAATACTATTGATATACAGGGTGAGTCATTCAATCGTGCCATCTGAATTTACTTGTAAACTATTTATCACATAAAAAAATCTTCCAAATAAAAGTTATTCGGAATCGATCAAACCAACCGTATTTTTGCCAATCGCAATTACAATTTTTGATGCCAAATAACCTCTACCTCGAACTTTTTTTCATCCAACAAATAAATTTTGGTGATACGATGAAACGATTTACTCTGTATTATAGCATTATTAGCAATGAACAAGATAAAATGAAAATCGAATGAGACAACAATTACGTTTAAACCTTATCGTTAAAAAATATTGAACTTACCCAGTTATTCGGTGCCACAACGGTACCATTAGGAAGCTTTTTGCCTTCATGCCAAACGTAGTAATCAGTATATGGATCGATTTTCTTCAAGCTTTTCTGAAACCATTCGTGCTGATCCGAAGAATGATTCGGGACGAAGTCTAGGATCACCTTCAAGTCTTTTTTATGAGCAGTGTCTAGCAAATCTTTAAAATCTTCCATTGTGCCGTAAATAGAAGCGACATCGGTGAAATTAGAAATATCATATCCGAAGTCAACCATCGGGCTAGGGTAAATAGGAGACACCCAGAAAGCATCGACCAACGATTCTTTCAGATGATTCAAGTTGTTCTTGATACCTACAACCGAATAGAAAATTTCTCGATAGAAAACTTATCGATTTAATCATTTTGTTAATGACATATAAAAGCTTTAAAGAAATGAACTTTCTTTGTGCTTATCATTATCGCTAGTTTTTGATATCCTCTAAATATGTAGGATCTTTTACTTGTAAACAAATCACGTTTCAAATTCAAATGGTAATTATGAGTGTATATGATGCGAAAAGCAAGGTGTTCTTATTATTACAATATTTGTTGGTTGCTTAAGTCATCGAACATCTAGTGTACAATACTGACATATTAAGCTTCACTAATATTTTTATAAATAAAAATGATTTATAGTATTTTTTATTTTTAAATCGACTTTTCCCTTTTTGATGTTTACTTTGTATATTAATACTCTAACTTTAAAGTAAAAGTTCAGTTTTAAAATTTATTTTATATGTAGTTAATAAGAGTTCAGAAAGATCAGATACTTTTAAATAGGTAGTTAGATGTAAAGTATAAAAGTTAGGAACATTTCTAAAATGATCGATATTTAAGAAATCGAAAATGAGATAAATATACATAGAAGCAAATGTACATTGTGATTTTTGTATAATAAATGTTCAAACGATTCGAGGTTTTAACTCCAGATTTACCTACTGCAATATTTAAAAAAATGAATGTTCTTAATTAACTACAACTTTATTCTATTTTTAAAAAAATAAACATTTTTCGTTTACATAAAAATGTAATTTACATTTGTTCAATTTGTGAACTATTATTTAAATAATGTAGTACTGTTAATTCTATAATTCTAAGATATAAAAATATCTTTTATTTTTAATAGATTGAAATGCTAGAATAACAATTGCTTAAACGATTATAAAAATAGTTTCTGTTGTCTACTATTTAGAAGCATACTCGTGTGACTTACTTGCAGTGCGTATTCGAAGAAACTTACATGTGCTACTAAAGTCGAAAATTGTTCATTGGACTAGCGAAATGAATATTTTACTAGTGTCAGTGAAACATGCAATTTCCATTGTTTAATCGCTAAAAGTTTTTAAGTACTACGAGAACAGAAACCCAAAGGAAGAAGCGAGAAAGTAAAAAAGAAAACAGAGGAAAATGAAGAAAAGAGAAAAAACGAAAACAAAACAATACTTAAATACTAAATAAGATTCCATATTCACGGGTGCGTATCACAAAATTGTTAAGACAATATAATACTTATAGTGCTCTGAATTCTAATAAACTCATGATGCGAAGATGCAGTTCTATAAATAATGACAAACTCAAACACATTTTCTGAATTTTTTCTTCAACACTTCTATGAAATTGCTGATCTTGCTTAGATATCTTTATAACGCGCTAGTAAAAACTTCTGTATGGAAACAATTGCCTGTTGACCTCCTCAGTACAACTTATCAACTGAATGTTATAGGACGAACTTATTATGACGACCATAGAGCTGTGAATATTTATATACTCGGTTGTTGTTCGGTGCTCAGTGATAACGATTTTGTGTTTTAGTGTAAAACATTTGTCTTCGACTTATACTTATTAGAATATCTACGTAGAAGTAGTTGTTTAACACAAAACTGCCGAGCAGTTAAATTGACATTTCGAAATTTTTTTACAGAAACTCTAAAGGTGCATCTATTGAAACTTTAATTGATTTACAATTTAATTTGCGCATTGCTAAACCAAGTTCTTTAATCATTTTCCAGAGTAACGTCTGGTATCTGTTTAATAATTGCAAAAAGAAGAAATCAGGAATGAGTCATTTTGACCCGACTGGTAGTTTTAGTGTTAAAAAAATTATTAAACAATTTCTAGTCATCCACTATAATGAGTTACGAACAATGAAATGATACTGAAAGTGAGCAATTGATTTAAGAAATTGTGGGAACATTTTGAAAAAATTGTAGCTTTAACTAATAGATGTCTGAGCGTTGTGAAGAATTCCTCATATTGGTTAGTATAGAAAATTATGGAAGAAACAAATTCTAATAACAGAATTATAATAACATTTACCTTGGATACATATAAATGTAGAATTTCCGTTTTGAATCATATTATTGTTTGCACGGGTATTTACACAAATAAATTTATTTTCCAGCGCAAGTGAGCAGGTACAAAAAATTACACAAATCAAGACTTCAATTGCACTTGTATATACTATACGTATATACTAAAAAGTATAATACACGTTTTTTTATTTTAACTGTAACCAATGTAACATCGATTCATAGATGTATGGAATTAAATATGAGAATAGAAAAACAAGTAATTTAATAGAATGCAATACGTTTACCTTTCAAATCCCCTACGCCATCTCCGTCGCTGTCCTTATAACTTCTTGGATAAACCTGATAAAGCGACATTTTTCGCCACCATTCATTGCCGCCGGAACACTCTCCAGTAGCCACGAACAGTGACATCACACCAAATATTATTACCACCTTCATGATACCTAAATACAGAAACCACATCGATAAGCATGGATTCAATGAATTAATGAAATACGTAACTTTGATCGAGCATATTATCATTGTTTTATACATGTGAGATTTCATCATCATGACGATAAAATAATTCTATTCGAAATATTAACCTTTCAAACTCGAGAGGCATCTTTCAGTCGCCATTCAATGCGACCTAGCAAAATTATGAAGTTTAAAATTCAATGTTGAATTTTGTATAATGTATCAACGCATGGAACATTGAAATCAAATAGATACAGTCCCTAGTTTATGCAAGATTAACTAACTTCATGTTAGTTGCAAAAAATAGCATTGATATTTCATTAGAAAATAATGAATGTTTATTGAAGAAACATACTTAAATATTTAAAACTTAAAATCGTCCATCTCTAATTGATCCTTCACCCATTCGTTGCCAACACTTCTTTCAATAATAGTCTCCGCGGTTATAACATTTGATTAAATGAAACATATCGTCTTTACAAAATACATATAATAATCAAGAAATAAAATCTCCACAACTTTCTGAACATTATACCATGCGTTACAATATTAGATGAAAGCACACGTAAGTGTAATTTACTCTTCTTTGCAGAAAATATGAAACATTGATCGTCGCAAATATGCGAGAATGCAATTATGCAATAAACATGAAAATGAAGTATACAATAACCACGACACTGGTAGCGAACGTATTCAAACCATTCGTCCACAATATTCGTAGAAAAATATTTTTTTTGCGACACGTACTGTCGTACACGTTACGAAACTCTAACGATATTAAAATACACAAAAGGCACCAAAAATTTACAGAAAATAACTAAACCTTTTGTCAAGAAAGTCAATACATTTTGTAATCAACAAGAAAATATGAATTATAGAAAAAATTCCTGTTAACAGAAACTACGAATTCTCCAGTCTCGATGAAGAAGAATCACGATAACTTTCGCAAGCATATTTTTATCGTACGTGTTCTGCATGCGTTTTTCGATTACCGTGCGTGCAGTCCAATTAGTTTGATCTGCTACCGACGCCACCGTTGCAACAACTACAGTGAAATGTACTGACAAAGACCCTCTTTTATACCCGTATTCTGTAATTCGGTTGGAGTTGCGTGTATTTATTATACAGGCACAGGTAACAAATATTTCACTCGCAGACTTAACCGATAATAATTGTTCAATGCACGGTACTATCAGGAAATAAATGACCGAACTAAGATTAACGACTTCTTGTTAACTCTTGAAAGTTGCATTTTCTTTAGGCATGATAGTCGTACCATTCAAAAGTATTTATCTGAGCTCACGTGCAGTTAATTCTGTTGTTTAAACAAAAATATTTATATAATGTATCGCACCAGGAAAGTTGCGAATTTAATATTTAATTTATAATGTACTCAGGAGAAGTTAAGAAATTTTGGAGAATATTTTTGAAGGATTTTTAATACATTGAATACCATGAGGGTCACCGGTGACTCCCAACCAAATCAAATTACTATCGTTCCATCAAGAGCCATATATCTAAACTGGAAAGCTCACAGTCAGGTATCGTTAAGACAATCGTGAACGCATCATGGCATATACGTAACGACGAACTATGCAAGGACCTGCAGATAGCCTTCGTTACAGGCGAAATAACGCGACTATTCCATCGATACAGTGCGAGATTGATTGGCCACCCTAACTTATTAGTTACAGATATATATTCTGTACATCTACACATCAACCTCGTAGACTTAGGAGGAAACATCCTTGCGATCTACTACGTTAACATCCAAACCCGTGGTTTAATAATCAAGATGCCATCCAATGGGACAGGCATCACCGCGATACATCTTCTGACTGTGATAAAAAAATTTACCGAATGTTCTACTGGACAAATTGTAAAGATACTTAGATAATAAAAACAAAATAGTTCACTCAATGAAACGATGACTATTAGAAAATATTTTTATGTTATTATAAATAATGCTACCTAATGCAGCGACACTCAGCTAGATGAGCTAGATGAGTTCAGCTCACTTACAATAATAAGAATGCAATTCAATCAAATGATTTAATATTATATTTTTTCCATTTGGTGTATTTTGCTCTATGTAGTCTAAATAACTAAAAAGTCAATATTTGAAGATTTTTTTTCTGACAAAGTAATTTTATACGATTACTTTTTATGATTACGTATATTTTGAGCATATGGAAATTTATTACATGTAAAGGTGTTTATTAAACAAACATTTTTCATTCAGACCGTTTCAAACTTCTGCACAGAATTTCCCAGATAAAACATTATCATATAACAATTTCTTTCTACAACCTTGTCTAGAATATGCATGCATAATGCTTTTCAGTGTTTACTTCTTCTTTTATTTCTTTTCGAGAAATTTACGTAAGATGCTCTTACCCACTGCGACCGGTCATTTCATTTGGTCGAAGCGTTTATGATACTTACTCTTCTAAAGTTAAAAAATCGTTACCACAGAAAGGTTATCTGAATTTGGTGTGGTCTGAGAGTGGATTAGTCTCTTTATTACATCATCTGAAGGAGGACTACATGAATACATGTTAATAATATTATGAAAAAATCTACTATTATTGTAATTATTGCAGGAAATAAGTGCGAATTCCTCAAATGTGCAAAGCGAGTAAAACATAACGTGGCACGATTTTCAACGAAATTATATAAATCTTATTATATATAAAAGCAAGTGAAACAAATAAGTGCTCCTACACTGTTTTTCTTCTTTGAATTATATTAACAAGTAACTCTGTCAAGTCAACTGACAAATTTGATGAAGGTAAGTAGCTCTATGACGTGCCCATGGAAAAAACTCAGTGGTGTCTTCACTAATTTTGCTAATTAGTTACATTGATCGTTATCAAAGAAGAAATAGCTTTACTGTTTTCAAAAATATGGAGTTTCCAATAGATTTTGGCCAATGTAACCGATATTGACACGAAATTAATCAGTCCTATGTCTTATTTCTATTGTAGTAATATATTCCGCCATAATTCTCCGGTCCCTCAATTATTTACGTCACAGTGTTGGCGTAAAGTCATTCAACAAAAGAAAATTGATTACTAAGTTAATTTTCAAGTAATTATGAAGCGAGTTACGCAATTATAGGAAAAGATAAGAAAAACATTTGTTTGTGCAGTCTTGTCTTAAACGTCAATCGGACCGGGCATATCAACAGGAGACTATAAGAAAAGACAACAGGAACGATAACAGTTTAGACTTATGAAGTGCCAGCTATCAATAATGCTCGTGAGAATCGTTTACTGCCTCGGCGTTTTACCGAGCATTGAGCTCATTGCCAGTGTACTGAAAGTACGAAGCAATGACCACCAATCATCTGTTAGCAAAGGGAAACAAAAAATAATAATTACAATTGCTTCACGAAAGATAGAATTATTATTATGTATTATTCAATAGAATTATTATTCTCTTGAAGTTACCTCTAAAATATATTTTTACAAAAATAATAAATATTCCGGCGGTTTAAGAATTAAGTTACCAGTGTTAACATATTACCAGTTTACTATCTATCGGGATAATAACTGAGGAGGAATTTAGCCCTAGTAAATTATTAACACTAGATTTATGGAACCCGTCAATGACGGATGTTGAATTTTTTAACCTGTTAACTTTGGAACTTAGTCCAAATAAAATCAAAAAGTGAAGTGTGTGCTCGTGAAAGGCAGAATTTATACACCTAGGGTATATTTTAATGAAAACCCAAATCAAAACAAAGAAGAATTAGATGTTTATCTGAAAAAATAAAGAATTCATCGTTGAAGAATTAATCTCGTTTCAAGCTTTAAGACGATGTGTATATTGGTCAAACGCCGTTAACTGGTTAAACATTATTTAACAACTTGATTTCGATTCGTGCAATCATGCGAATACATATTTTAATACTCTAATTTCAAAGCTATAATTAGAACATCTAGTTTATTTTTTACGAACAGTAGAATAAAGTATAGAATGAACGTTCGTAAATCTAGTGTTAATAACAAAGTTCTCCTAGCTAACGTGGATATGAACGAAATCATAGGACAAAGTGTTAAATGCAGTATAAATAAAATGTTTATTTTTTAAATATATTTCAACATTCTTCTTGCCAGTCACTGCTTGTAAGTACATCAATTTTACATGATTGCAAACAGGAATTAAAAAAGTAGTGGTCTTAAGTAAAAAATTTGCAAAGTTTACATAGAAAACTTCAGTTTATTTATTTTAACAGGTCCTCATCTTAATAAGAGCGGAATTAAATACTAAATAACACAACTTCTTGAGGAACAATGTCAGTAAATTATACTTATTTTATTTTTATGCGAGATACACAACATTGAAAACATAAACATCTAACTATTGAGAAAATCAGATCGGCTTGATAGTTCAAGACGTATGTAAATTATAATAATTTATAGAGTATGGTTGATAATAGGTAGAGATCATTTCTGAACATAATAGTAGTTCTTGGTCCTAATGTTTCATTAAAACCGCTATTCCATACGGAGGCACTTGCACATTCCTGGCTTGGCACAAGAAGTCCCTATATTCATAAAGAAACAAAAATATTATTAAACGGGCTATTCGGTTTAAGAACGGTGGCGCAACATTTATTAACAGATTTAATCGAAGCAACTAACGTGATTTATTATTTAATCGTGTATGCAATATCACGGACAAACACAATTAATTATTCAATAATTATACACTTAATTGATTCTTTATGAAATTTTCTTATCACTTATCAATATGTGAGGACAAGCTACATTTAGTTAATATCGTAAAATTCGTTATATGAACATGTATAATGAAGTGGATTTCAATGAAATTAATATGCTTATCCACGCGATTGCACTCACGTTACAAACACGTCTATAAATGAGTAATATAATTTAGGTGTTAAAACACACGGAAATTGCAAAGCATACAATTCGAGTCAGCTAAACTCAAAGCTTTGAGAAATTTCAAAATTAGTTTTACATTGCCGTATAACCGATCTTTATCAGAGAGCTTTGAAGTACTGAGTTGCATTAGTGATTAATACGTGCTGATATAACGAAAACACGAACACGTTACTGGAATCAACATTCATTACACACTACAATTATTCTACTCGTAAGTGTATATATTATCATATATATTATATATTATCATCTATAATATAATATTAAATGTCAGTGTACTGTTTATATGCACCATAATGAATTGCATACACAACAATGGCCTTCTTAAGGAACGTTAATTCTAAATATGTCGAGTTGACCCTGCTATGATACTCGAATTATACAAATTTTAAATTTATTTGGAAAAGTAGGAGTCTGATAGCTCCTGACTTCTTGTACTATTCTTAAATTTGAAAGTATCCTTAACAAAATAATAACGCTTCTACATCAAACAGAAGTAAACAAGTAAAATAGTACTAAGTAAATGTAAAGATGATTGGATGGAACAAGACCCGAGCAGATTGCATGACCATTTTCAAAAATTTCAAAGAATACAATTATGCATATGTAATAAATCATGTTTGATACTATTGGCTTTCACTCACTTCTTAAAAATTAGGTAAATTCTGCTAAATTGACATTACTTGTCACATTTATCTCCAAGAAAATACAACTAAAGCGTTGACACAGAATGATGATCATTTTAAAAAGTAAAATTCACATGTTTCTCTCATCGCATTACTGGGAAATGAAAAATGCTTCTACGAAATTTGCAATAACAGTAAAAATATTTCAGATAAGAAAATTAGGTGAAACATTCTGCATAATTGTCTCGTTATATAACATTCTTGTACAATTCCACATAATGTAATAACTGATCGTGCGCTTGCACTACTAAAATATCACTCCGGAGATTTCAAAAACATGATCGATACATGGATGTCGAATATGCCAGAGGGCGCAACAGCTAACTTTTTCATAATGCTATTATTTATCACGAATGGTAAAATTTATATAAGTAAAGTGTTATACGGAAAAAAGAGAGCAAGCACTTACCCTGTTTTAAAATTAAAGTTATCCGTGGAGTAGTACACCTTCAATCCGCACGGTACATTATAGAAATTTACAAGGTCCACCGTTTCTTGCATACCTCCTAGGTTCAATATTGCGTAAACAGATTCGTCGTCCTCAGTTTCCCTGTAAAAAGAATGACAGATCATTTATTATAACGAGTATAGTTGTACAAAACATTCATATTGCAGTTTCCAAAGATATTAATAGTAATATTCTTCGAATCAGTAAGAAATAAGTTATCGTTCGAATAATAATTTAAACTCTTGTAAACCTTTAATTTCCAAGATCTATATGAACACCTATTTTTCTAGGAACATTAACGTGAAGTGATCTCATTGTTAAAAAAGAAAATATCTACATCCTTAGAATGAAAAATTTAAAAGTAAAATACAAAATTTATAACATGAAACAGTATACGTTATCATTCATAATACGTATGATAGCATTTATTAAGAGAAGTGCAACGATACGCTACGTAAAGTCATTCAACATTATGAAGAGTCACAAATTAATGAGCTTCTAAACTGAGGGTTGATAGCGCAGACTGCATCTTCGTGACACGAGTAATGGACTCTCATTTAAGCATCGAACTATGTAAGTAGCAACTTCGAGCGCTCGACGAACCTGCTCGAGTCGAAACGAGGATAACGAAGATGGAAAGTTTGAAAATTCGAATATGTTCGAGACTGGTTTAATCCTTTGTCTTATGGCTTTTTTCACATGGAACTATTTTATTGCTTATAATTCATTAGAAGAAGAACGACATTTCACGCTCATTCTATATATCTACTTTACTCTGAAGCATTACAATTTATAATAGAAAAATAAAGTTTAATTCGAATTCCAAAGAACGAAATAACATTTATGTTTAGTAAATTCTGTTTGAAATCTTCCCCACGAGTTTAACACGATATTGTAGGGCAAGGGGTTAACCGAGTTTAACGTTCGATCCTCCCTTCACTATTGTTGCCAAGACTACGTAGGACCAAGCGTCAGGCGCCAATGTAAGCACAGAATAAATTATACATCAAAGGAAATTTGAATTTTTAGATGTTTCAGCATGGCAGATTGAAATGATGAAAAACTGGTTTTCGAGATTTGTCTGGCAAAAATGAACCTGAACACGATCTCCTAAAGACCACTTTTACTAATATACGTATGAAATAGTGGAACAGATTATTAGATTGCATATTATTAAAATATATTCAATAAATATTGTGTTTAAGTATATTTTTAGTGCAATACATCCTTACCTCGCAATCAATAAAACGTTATGGCTCAACAGATTCGTAACTAAGTTTGCTTTCTTCACGGATGGCGCTGTCTTCAGCCATGCAATCGATCTATAGAAATTATAGTAGGAGTCCTTTTCTCCTTTCTCTGTTTCTAGATTGATAGTTTTGTAATTTTTATTAACCGGAAGCCATGTAGTTGAATTCGACGAAAATCCTGCAAATATTATTCTAGTTCACTATATTTTTTTAACCTTTTCTACTAATACACTTGTGTAAGATCAAAACATAATCACAAATGAAACACATTTTAGACATATAATCAATTAATATTATTATATTCATTATTTTTTATTTTTTTTTGTCTTTGAATTTTGAATGGTGACGTGAATGTGTGTTCTATTCTGTTCCATTCATTGCACAATCGGCGATGCCTGCCTTTTAAAAATTGATAGCTTACCAGCGGAAATAGTTGCGTCCCATTGGTATGGCGATCTTTCAGGATCTCTGGACATTTGTTCATATCTATTTTTACCAGCGTTACATCCTTGCGGGTCCTTGGTATCTTCCCACGAAATCCAAGTGTCTTCCATGCCGATTTCATCGCCATTATACGTCACGCTGACACCAGGCAATAAAAGCGTCAATAAGGTGACCGCGCGAGTCCTAGGTCCGAACCGACTCAACACTCTCGGTTTATCGTGGTTCCCAGCCTGAACAGAAATGTTCACTATCACTCATTCGTGGAACAATACTTGAAGCTGACATTGCTCTTATTTGTCTCGATTTATTCTCTTCATTCCAAATAATATTTCTATGATCCAAGATAATTATAAGATGTGTACTTCTTAATAAATTTTACTTTTTAACACTAGAGCTATCGTATCAGTCAAAATGACTGGTTTCGGTTTTCGTGTTTCGCAATGATTGATCTCTTAAAGGCATTGAATATTCGAAATAATTTCGAAAATAAATTATTTTACTTGAATTCTATAATGAATGTTTAAAGAAACTGAAAATAATCTATTGTCGTAATTTTCATCAATAAACCGATCAAGTTTCGTAAATCGATCAACTAGATAATTCTATTCTTTTTTTACTGTCTCGAAGAGCAGTTTGAAGCACGTTTGCACACTGCTGTGCTCGCATACTTTCTGTGTGTGAGCAAGCACCATCTTCGAATTTGAAATAGGTTACGAAACGAGGTGTTTTCAATAGAATATATTAAACCCATTCAATTTAATTTTCTTCTTGTCGTGTCCATTACGAATAAACTAACAAATAAATGAATTCGCTCGCAATGTTTGAGTACTGTCAAGAAAGTCGTGTGCTTCATGTATTTTCTATGTTGATTGACTTTTCAACATCAGAATTTTGAAAACAACTTTCTAAAACTATGTAAAGGGTTGAGCCAAATAAAATTTACAAGCGAAATCAAGTGATTCAAATTAATAAACAAATGAATAATTTGAAAGTCTTATTTAGATGTTGCATGAAATTTATAAAAACCCGAAACCAACTATAGCAACGTTACAGCATGAAAATAAAGAACATTGTTTGATGATGTCACGATAGTAACTACTTGTTGCATAAAATTGAAACAAATCTTTCTGTTACAGCTATGAATTGAGAAAATTACAAACTTACGAATATGGACAAATGAAAATTTTTCTACATTTGAAAAGTTCTTAAGGAATATTTTTTACCACCTACGAGGAACTTATCAAATAACTTTCTTTGATATTAACACTTTGCACTCGGAAGTTTCTCACTAGAAATATTTAACATTATTTTACGAGACAGGGACGACATTCTTCATAACTAACTCGAAGGGAAATCACAAGTACATTGAGGAACAAAGCTATTTTATTCCAATATTGCACGTATCGAGGCATTATACAAAGTTCAACATTAAATATCAGATTTTATAGTTTTACTGCGTCAAATCAAGTGGTGACTGAGAGTCACCTCTCGAGTGCAAAGGGTTAATAAATGTCTTTTTTCTTCTTGGAACTTACCACCCAGTTAGCTGTTGCTCCCTCTGGCATATTCGACATCCATGTATCGATCATGTTTTTGAAATCTGCAGCCGTCGACTGGTTATTCAAATTTGCGATCATCTCAAAGTTAAAAGGGAAGCTGGCTCCATAATGGTAGTACTTCATTGTCAATGGTATGGTTGCGTATGCTTCCATCATCATGACTTTATCGCCATTGTACTCAGCGAGTACTTCACTCCAACCCTTCACTATATCGTAAGTCAACTGCTGATCTTTGGTAAACGTTTTAATCGTATAGTCGTAGTCATTTGGATCATTAGTGGTGCCTGACAGTGGTTCATCCAAAAATCTCTGATCCTCGCAGAGATGGGGTATAGCGTCCACTCTAAAGCCATCCACGCCCTTATTTAACCAAAACCTAAGAACGTCCTGTAAAACGACGATTATTACTAAACATGTAATAAAGATTCGATGGCATGCTGCATTCCCGGTTCTTTCATTTTAAATCAAAAATTGAATTACGTTTTTGCATTTTTTCATACAAATGTTCTATATAATGCGGTCGTTCCATTTTTTTATTTCTGAGTAGGTAATAATAAAATTAAACATAAATAATTAGAAAGAAAAGAAATAAATAAACTTAATTCTATTCTACAAACCGATAGGTTGGCACTTTTAGGCAAAGCAACACAAAAGCACGACACCTAAACGGTTAACCCTTGCCTTATAATTTATTTATCACCTGTGATCGATGCAACTATTTCATTATTAATAATTCATTGGAAGAAGAGACAAATTCTAGGCGTACTCCCAGTCCACGTTTGCTCTAAAGTATAATAATTGATAACAGAAGAATAATATTTCATTTGAACTCAACAAAATAGAGTAATATTTATGTTTGTTACTTTTTATTTAAGATCTTCACCACGAATTTCACACGTTATTATAAGACAAGGGGTTAAGTTTACTAAGTAGTCAAGAATTCAAAGAACTTCTCACAGCTTGCTCTGAAAATTGCTCAACGCTGATAAGTAGCGATTCGACATAAGAATCTATATTCTGTAAAAATTGTTTGATAAGAGGGAATGAAGGTCACGTTGGAATACCAACTGACTCATAGAAACAATAAATACATCCAGTTCTTATGGTTCGTTTTGTTTCAGTATTTCATCAAGTTACTGAAATACAGGGTGTCGCAAAAGAATTTATTTTATTCTATTTATTTTTAATCAAAGTGTAGTAACATTTTTTTGCAACATCCTATATTATTCCAACGGTAATAACTATAACTTATAATTAGACTACTGAATTAGACTACTTAAAGTAAATTTAAACTTTTAACAATATAATCAGAAAGACAGAATTATGATAGAAAATGGTTTTCCCTAACAAACATTATAAAAAGCGTTACGATTTTAGACTGGACGTTACAATCTTCGTGATTTTGCAGTACCAAATTTCCCATGAATATATAAAAATTCGCTATGTACTTGTGAACAATATATTGTTAGATATATTATATGAATATTTCGATAGACAAATGAAACGATCTCATTTGAATTATTTTTAAACTTCAATACTTGTCTGCTTAATTTCAAAACATGATTCTTACATATTAAAAATAATAGGTAACTTTATAAGAAAGGTTACACTTCATAAATCCTATGTAATTCAAGTTGATTGCGTCGGTGAATAAATTAATAAATATTGTGAGATATGAACGAATACTTCGGAACATACACATACTTTGTACTTTGCACTGCATCTTAAAAACAAGCGATTTCGCAAGGGTTTAAGAGTGATTACAATTTTCATGAGTTTCCTGCTTCCGGAAAAACTGGAAAACACGTTCGTGTTGCTTAAAAACGCAAACATAGGTACTATATCCAATAATAAATCATGTTGACGATTATTGGTAAGATTCATGGTAAGAATTATGGTATCAGAAGTGCAGAAACATTCTAAAATAATCAAAGTATTAAACTTATGGTCTTTGCATTATATGCTATGGAACTAATGAAAAAGTTATATTCACATCTAAATCAAATAAATGCACATTTTTAAACATTTATAAGAAAGATAGTGAGAAATTGTACAAAGCGATCATGATGTAAAAATATATATAAAATATCCAATGCATAATACTTTTTATAATATTTATTAAGAAAAATCATTTTCTATTGTAATTCTATTTTTTTAAATACGTCTCAAATAAAATTCTAAATATGTTCTAAATTTTTCTAAATAAAATCCACACTCTACAAGTAAGCCATCGGGTGTAATGTTTGTTACAAATGGCTACACTGTTTTAATTAATTTAACTAAAGTGTCACTTCGGACTTCGATAGCGTTATTGGAAGAACGAACCTTGACGCGAGTCTATACGCTATATTTCCATGGACTGTAAGTCACAAAAAAATTCCGGGCTTCTTTTTGTCCGAGGAAAAAGCGACTGGCCAACCGTGTTGAATTTCCACACTTGACGTGCGAACATCGTTTCTGTGGTCAGGGGAACGAAAAGGGTTCCGATGCGGTGTAATATACATATACAAGCTGAATTTATTTCCAGCTTGGTAGCGATGCCACCAAATTAATCTAGCATCTGTACAACCTGTTCATAAGGGTGAATGGATGAAAAAAAATCCGATATTCTGTGTTTAATCGTCGAGTAAAGAATTAATTGTTCATGAATAGATTACGGGATCTTTATACAAATTCAATTATTCAAGAATATAATTAGAGATATATGATAGAAAATTGTTTTTTTCCTAGGAAATATTATAAAAAGCTTTTATACACTCTCGATATTTTATATATTTTTTCGTGTATAAAATTAGTTAATAATATCAAAGTGTAAAACAATCACGATACTATACTATAAATGAAATTTGTTTTCGAAGACAGGAAACAGTTACTGAAAGCTTCGTAGTAATTGATAATCTATTTGTTAAAAAAAGTTATCAGGTGCATAGTGTTTTCAATACCTATCGTGGGAAGAGACGTATTCTTCCGAATACGATTGAACAATAAATTGTGGAATCAAAAAATCATAATCCACATGGTATAAAAAATTAACGAACACTTCTTTCGTTAACAGATTACGTTAGATAACAATTATGTGGATAAAGATTGTGCTATCGATACGGATATTCGAGATTTAATGGGACTTATCGACGCGTATTAAAGTAGCGAGATAAAATGGTTAGATATAGGTACCGCACTGGCGAAAGTATTTAATCAGAATCAAGAATCAAGCTCGAAATTATCATTGATAGCCTCATCCTCGATATAACTCGTCAATGGAATAATTCAATACGATTGTCCGCTTCCGCCTAATTTTGGCTGCAGGAACCTCAAGCTAAATTAGGGTTTCATTGATAGATCGATGCTAATTCAATTCCAGAGAAAATTCTCTATGCCGGAGCTACCAGCTTGATTGAAAGTACTTACTGGATTGATGAACTTACGCGGCGAAGCAGAATTTTCGAATATATTTACGTACTTTACAAATTGTCTTTGTTGGAATGTAAATATACCATTCAAATTATTGTGAAAATTCGAAATAAATCGTTATGAATAGTATAAATCGAATAGTCAAAGAAAATTGTAAATGCCGTTTGACATTTTTGTAACGCGACTCCATCTGAATAGTGTGACAAACTTTATTCTTATCGTGAACGTTAACAAGTTTCATTCGTTGCGAATACTTCTACGTTATATCAAAACCACATACAAAATTAAGTTGTACGAAAAGGAACATCTATATGCTATTGGGAGATCAGTTTTCATATTTTTTCATTTTCGATACTAATTTTCTATTGGTCAATGCGGTTATACGTAACCAATCAAAACCATAAACAAAATCCCTAACAAAAGACCCCTCTTGTTCCAGTGTCGTCCCGCTAGACATTAAATGATCTCCCAATAGCATGTTGTCTGCAGGGGTTGAAAACAATTACGATATCGATTTCGGTCAGGGATTGAAAAGGTTCCAAAAATAACTATTTGAAACTGTTATGTATGAATTCCGATTGAAACAGTTATGGAGAACTGAAATAAAGTTATAATTGTTATAGGGATATTGGTTCTGAACTATAACAGTTTCTATTATATCGGTTCTATAACTGTTAGTTTTCTTCTTATTATTTGTTTATTTACTCATTCCTTTTAGAACCAACATCCAGAACCAAAAACTAACAGTTATAGAATCGATATAATATGGAAACCGAAACCGATAAAGCCCAGAACCGACATACCTAATAACAGTTATGACTTTATTTCAGTTCCCCATAACCGTTTCAACCAGAACCTCGATTTTCGGGGGACTGTGTCTATCTCGCTTCTGCTAATTATATCGACTCTCTGCCTTTATAAGACTATGCTCGAGTCAATTCCTGAAAGTAAATAGCTTCCTCCTGTTTTCTCTGCTCGGTTAAATTCCACTGCTGGGACCCGAAATTGTGGAATTTAAGCGAGCATTACTATATATATAAATTGTGTACGGACTGGGTAGGAGCGGTAAAGATCTTGGTGCGCTAGCCCTCTATTGGCGATGTGCTGAAAGTTGCTGTCACATAACAATTTCAAACAATTATTTTCGAAACCTTTTCAATCCTTGGGTGTCCGACAAATACGAACATACGAAATGCTGCAACGTTAGAAGAGTTTGCTGAGCAGCACGGTTTATCGCGGTGAAAAATTTAATTCTGTAATATTGCCGTGAATCATAGCAACGAAACATGACCTCGTTACAAAACCGCACTCGCAACGAAGCTCGTTTCATGTGTATACCAAGATTTACATCCGTAAGGATTTTGCGACACAGAAGTCCTCATAAGCAGAAAAGTTCACGGCACAGTAGATGCAAATGAAATTGCCTAACTACGAACGTTGAATGAGCACCTTATTAACCCTTTGCTGTCGAATGTAGCCGTAACGGCGACTTCGAGCTTCGACACCTAAGATCGGAAACTGCAAATGAATAATTTAATTATTCAATAAACACATTCCGTGACACGTGTACCATTTGTGGTACACGCGCAATTGTTGTAAGGAACCATTTTTTGTGAGATATGTGTCAAAGAGTAGCGGTGCGCGTCGCGGAGCAGCAAAAATGAAAAGAAATAATATCAAAAGATATATACAAGTCAGCAAAAACTTGAATGTAACTTCATATTTCATTTAAAAAATCAGTGCACTTTATAAACAAGGTATAACCGAAATTACCGGTAACAAGGAATGTGTTAATGAGAGACTGACATGTGTTTTGGTTTCTTTTAATATTGAAGACTTCGACGCATAATTCAGTTTGTTATGAAAACAAATATTAAAAGTTTCAGATAGTCTCATCTGTAAAGAGTTAATAGAAAATTGTCGACCGTTAAGGATTACATGAGTTGAGCTTAGCCCGTTAGCAATAAATTTCTTCTCATAGATTTTTGCGTGTATCTACTGAGTCCATATGCAGTATTTAATGCTCGGTAAACCTACGTAGCGAGAATAATTGAATATTCACGTACTGGAAATACACCTACCCGGTTGCAATTATTTTAACGATCATACTTACATGCATCTCTTCACATCTCTTCATACGTTTTTTAGCATTATTCATCTAAGGAATTACAATTACAACTTCATTACGTCTTGCATGAATTAACAGAGTCCAACGATCTTGAGCCATTGCCTTACAATAACGAATGAGACTCGTGGTGAAAATTTTAAATAGAATTGAACAAAAGTAAATATTACTCACTTCTTGCGAATTCAAATTAAATATTATTCTTTTGTTATCAATGATTATACTTACGAACAAACGTGAACATAGGATATGCCTAGAATTGTTCTTTTTCTTCAATAAATTATTAATAACAATGTAGTTCGATCGATCATAGTTGAGAAATAAATCGTAAGGCAGGGACAAGACAACAAGACGGCAAGCTAAGCGAAAGAGTATTCCGTTTCAAACGAAACGTTTTGTCTGGGAGTATACAGCACTCAAAGGATTAATGCTGCCTAAATCTATGCAACAAGAAGAATTGGATATTCGAATACTAGAAATGCACCTGCTTCCACCACTTCATTGGCAATTATTTTATCAACCATACTTACATGCATCTCTTTTACAAGAGTTGGATTGTGGTAGTTGAAATCTGGTTGCTCTGCAGTAAACTGATGAAGGTAATATGCCTGACGTTCCTCTTTCCACGTCCAAGCCGGTCCTCCAAACACACTCACCTATACGAAAAGAATAATTTCTGAATATTGGAGTATGTGAAAACACTGATAAATTATATATAATTATATATAATAATAATCGTCATAATGTCCAGATAAAACTTTCAGCGACAGTCCTGTAAGTTATATACTATTTAAATATTATTTCGTTATAACAATTACATTTGGTCTGGGGATGTTTATGAAAATATACATTTTTATAGAACATGGTTTGGTTTAATTGTTTATGAATTCTGTTAATACAATGTGTTGTGTAATAATAAATACATTTTAATTCTGAATGTCAGTAGTTATCACATATATGTGAATGTAAAATATGAATACATTCATATTTTCGTTATATAAATACGTTCAATTGTTCAATCAAAAATATAGAACTCACCCAGTTATTTGGTGGTACAACGGTACCATCCTCAAGCTTTTTCCCTGGATGCCAAACGTAGTAATCGGTGAATGGTTCGATTTTCTTCAAGCTTTTCTGGAACCATTCGTGCTGATCAGAAGAATGATTCGGGACGAAGTCCAGAATCACCTTTAAAGACTTGCTATGAGCGGTATCCAGCAAATCCTCAAAATCTTTCATCGTACCGAAAAGAGGTTCAATATCGATGAAATTTGAAATGTCGTAGCCAAAATCGACCATTGGGCTAGGGAAAATGGGAGATATCCAGAAAGCATCGACAAACGATTCTTTCAGATGATCCAACTTGCTCGCGATACCTGCAATACAAAAATATGTCCGATAGAAAACTTATCAGTTCAGTAATATTTATGATGATGTGTAGAAACTTTTCAAAGATTGTCACTAACATTGGTTCATGATATCATCAGAAGTAGCGATTCCAACAGGTTTTCGTAAATATCTCAAAAATTAACACTTAACAGACAAGACACGTACAGTTGGGAAATGACTTGATGTCTAGCGGAGCAGTACAGCGGAAAGAGGTGTCTTTTTAGTTTACAATCTTACAATTTCATTTTATTTACGTATTGTATTGTATTCGTGATCAAAAATATTAGTAATTAAAAAATAAATCCAATAGAAAATTAGATGAAAAAAAGATGGAAACTGATCGATCAACTTCGAACATCAACTGATCTCCTAGCAGTAGATATATATTTTCATGCTAACTTAACGTTTTGTAAAACACCATACTGGCAAGAAGTGCCAGACATTAAAATAAGTAATTTCTTAAAATTGTATTAATAATGATACTAATTTAAAAATACACAAAAGATCATCTGTTCGTTAAGTGTCAAGCAAGACCAATAAGAAACGTGTCAATCGTTCATATGCTTGTGATTCCACAATTAAAAAGAAATTTCGTTGAATAATATCAAGATGAAAAGTATATTTTGCGTCCTTTTCCATTTTGTCCTGTTTCTAAGTAGTGCAAATTAGAATTTATATTCGCTTAAACGACACTAATTTGTTTGCCGTGTTTGTCGCGTGCCTGCGTTATTTCCTTTTCTCCCTTTAATATTTACACGCTTTGTTTCTTCTAATGATTACATCCACGATGCACCAACTGTTTTGCTTGTGTCATTGTACGCAATTACGTAATCTCGTGAATGTATCAAAATGCGCTGAGGTGAGAACCGAAGTGATTGTATTTCTGTTTATCAAGTACAATCTGAGACGTGGTTACGTTTTATTTCTACGCAACTACACGTAAAAGCTAAAATCATTAGAAGGTATACACTGCTGATCAAAAGTCAGGTTAACAGGTGAACCTGTTAATCGTGGAATTTAGTTTGAAAAATCTCTTGTTGTACGCGCAATAAAATAAAAAAATTATGTGCGTACTTGTCTAACGAAGGACGAATGCATCTAAGGTGTGCAACACCCAGAATGTCGCGCGATTTCACGGAGAAAAATGTACGAACAGAAAAGAAATATAATATTGAATTTAATTGCGTTATTGTTATTGCATGTTTATCTTGTTGAATTCCACTACACTAAATAATATTATTTATAATATAGAAATGTTTTCAAATAATCACCGTTTAATTCAGTGAAATATAGTGATTTGATTGGGTTAGAAGTCACCGATGATCCCTATTGGCATTCAACACGTTAATGAGGAACCGAAGTGAAAAAAAGGAAGAATTATATGTTTGCTTAGAAAATAAATAATTTATCGTTGAAAGAATTAGTATCATTTCAAGCTTTAAGATGAGGCGTCAAACGCAGCTAACTAGTTAATAGAGGAACTTCCATTTCTTGTAAAACAACTTTTATTGGAGAATTTTTGTGTATTTTAAAGGAACATGGATCTATGTGTATTAGTCAAATATAAAGATATAAAATTTTTGTTATTTTATTTTATACATTTATAAGACATATAATGTTTCATTTGTGACGTTACATGTCAAGTGATTTCAAACTTTTATCCGACATTGTATACATATATATATATATATATATATATATATATATATATATATATATATATATATATATATATATATTCGGCAGAATATATATACACATAATGTTAACACTAGAATTACCGAGCATTTAATATAACTGATATGTAATTCCTGTAAAAATTGTAGCAATAGATTATCTTCGGTTATTCAGACATTCATTATGTCTATTCAAGTGAAACTATTTATTTCCAAAATCATTTCGATTGATATTGCAGTTCTAGTGTTAAACACTCAATTCCAGTGCTAATAGAATGCAATACGTTTACCTTTCAAATCCCCTATACCATCTCCGTCGCTGTCTTTAAAGCTTCTCGGGTAAATCTGATACAGCGACATTTTTTGCCACCATTTGTTGCCGCCGTGACAGTGGTGTCCAGCAATCACGTACAGTGACATCACACAAAACAGTACTATCGCCTTCATGTTTCCTAAACACACGAAATACGTCGGTCAGCGTGAAATGAACGAATTAATGAAACACGCAACTCTTTGCACGATATCACTGTCCTATATACTATGCACATCGTCGGGATAAAATAATTTCATCTGAAAATTTCTTATTTTCAAATCGTCTAGTTATTATTTTCTCGCGTGGCGGACGAAAAAGAAAAATGAGAATAGCTCTGAACGGAAGCCGCGGATTCTCACGATCACGGTTAATGAGAATCACGATCATTTTCACACGTGCACGATAAATCGTACGTGTTCTGCCTGCGTCTTTTGATTACCGTGTGTGCGCAGTCCAATTAGTTCGGACTACTACCGATGCCAACGTGACAACACTACAGCGAAATCTAACGGCACAGGTCCTCTTTTATACCCGTATTGTATAATTCAAGCGGAGTAGGGTATAAAGCTTATTGTATGAGCAGAAGTGACGAATGTTTCTCTCACAAACTTAATCAGTAATTATCTGATACACGGTAGTACCGATAAATCTAAATTATATGAATTGGCTAAGTTTAATGACTTCTCTTTAATCAGTAATTATCTGATACACGGTAGTACCGATAAATCTAAATTATATGAATTGGCTAAGTTTAATGACTTCTCTTTAAGAAATTCGTGTGAATATTTCTAAAGACTTTTTCGTGTGAGATACTTAATACTAATTATTTGACTAATTCGCAGCCACATGGCAATTGGAAATCGTGGAATTGTATTTTCGTAATCATCACTAAATATATGCAGATCTAAAATTTGACGTTTGGGTAATATGGATCTATAAACAAGCTTTTGGATAATAAATCGTGAATTGCGAAGTTTGAATGTAATATCCAAGAACAATTAATTACTGTTATAAAACATGTGTGAGGAAACACTATCGTTTAAACGTGGAAATGCTTTTCAACGATTTTGTATTTTGTAAGTGTTCCTGAGAAACTGTCTGTTCGAACATTTCAATATTTTGGAATGTTCAAGCGAATCTTCAGTGTCTTTCAATTTATTCCTTTAATTTAACACTAAAGCTACCGAGGAATTAAATTGACTTTTTGAAATTCCGCTATAGAAACTCCAAGAGCGCATGTATTGAGACTTTAATTGATTTACAATTTAGTTTGCGTATTGCTAAATCAAATTCTTTAATAATTTTTTAGAGAAACATCTGTCATCTTTTTAATAATTGTGAAAAAAGAAATCAGGAATGGGTCGTTTTGACCCGTCTGGTAGTTTTAGTGTTAATCAGTTATTTATTTTATTTAATAAATTCTTGGTTAGGTTGAATAGACTTAATAATTTATTTTAATTTAAGAAGGAAAGAAATAAATAAATTGTTTAGTTTCTAAAAGAAATGAGTATAAAATTGTATTAAAAATATTTAACATGAAATGGAATGTCTTTTTAATTGAATAATTTATCTGAAACGCGTATAATTGGATGATACTAATGAACGTCTATTTATTTGATAATGTAGTGTTATCGTGAACTCTTGTGGAGATCGTTTGCGATTAAGAATATGTGGGATTCGATATTTCGTGGCTTAGTTAATGGAAAAATCCGATGATACTTTCTTACCCAATATTCCTCATTGAATTTATATCGTGATAAAATACAAAAGTATTGGATGTATAAAACACCACCTTATATCATTTGATCGTACTATAAGACTGATGACCATGTTGATTATACTAGCTGGGACATAATTCAGTAGAGTTTTGTAGATAATAATAATAACAATAATAAAAAACGTCAACATCTGATATAAGGAAATTATTTACTTTTCTTCGCATATCTAAAATTTTCTTAAAAACTGTTCGAGACTTGAAAACTATAAAAATTAACTAATCTATAATATAATATATATAAACAAATTTTATAAGTTTTCGAATATATCAACAATACATACCGGGTAATGTAAAACTCTGAACGAAAATGAAGTATAAAATATTAAGCTTTAGCGGACGAGGATTCTTCGAAATATACAAAACTTTCAGCAGATGAAGCTGAATTACATATCGATTGCTTAAACAATGAAAAAAAAAGAAAACTACGCACTAATCTCTTGCTGTTTCAATAACTAAATCATTTGTTTGTTACTTAGTGCTCCAACTATGAAAATTCGATCTCTCTGTAATGTCGACATCCGTCCGCAAAGGGTTAATCTACTGTTATCAAGCTGTAAGTGTACCGTATAGTATCTTATATAAAAAGAATTATATAATTTGCAAACAGATCTTGAAGACATTATACGCCGGAAGTATAAATATTCCTACAGATGTTATTATTGTCATTACTAAGAATGGTTATTTATAATTTTTCAGCGCTATATGTATGTTCTCTTTAGATCATGCAAATACGCATAGAACAATATCACACCAGGCAAATTTGTATATTATAAGAATATAGTAAATGAGGTGTAACTTCATTCTCCTTTATACGCCCAGTTGCCTAATAACGAAATTGATATTTATACATCTAAAAGTAAGCAATCTCTTGCACCATGCATTCTGTTACAGCAGCAAAAAAACCTCGTGTTCAACTAACGATAAATTTGCTTCGCGGAGAGGACAATATTTATTTGCAATTTAAAATTATACACCGCGGCCTCTCTTCTTCTTTAACTATTTTTAACGAAGTCATCGGTGCAAAAGGGCTCTGCACACTCTTGCCGTATAAAAGTGAAATACCTTAAAGCTCTGAGGTAAATTTAGCCGAAGCCTGAGCTCTCGGAGTATTCTTTATGAATTTCATAAATGACCAACGGCGAAACCTGTTGACGCTTGAATTAATAACGAGAACTAACGATTAGATATCATGCCGCCGATTAAAGGAGTATAAATGAACCTTTCAGCTGAAATATAGGAATGCCATCGAGGTGTATTGTGTTAAGCTTATTTAAGAACGTTGCAGATTACACTGTGGAACAAATTTTGACCTACATTGTTGAACATTATATATACATATAAGAAGTGACCGGGATCCAAATCTATACAGCGCGTAGTAACGGCCCTGCATAGCTGTGGCCGGCGAGCGATGACTGTGTGGGACTAAAGTTCCGTGCTCGTGCTCTTCACGGATATTTTCTTAACCTGTCCGAAAGAAAAACCGTTCTCACACTTCCCGCGGGGGGTTCCTCTTCAGAAATGTCTGCAGAATCCAATGGTGCACAGCAAATTCGTGCTGGCTAACCCAGTTTTCGTAGAAATGTAACAGAAGTGCATACAAAGTACGCGCATCTACCTTTTTTTAAACTTTGATCATCGTTTACAAACATTTAATGATATGCAAAATTCAAAATTTTTATAGCTACCTGATCGGGCAAGTCTCCTTTATTTTTTTCGACAAATTTTAACTGCCTATCGTTTTTAGTTTTCACGTAACACTTGGTTTTCTGAAAAATTCGACCGTTTTTACAAAACCCCAGTTTTTTCGAAAACTGGACCTGACCCAGCAATTTGGTTTTCGGATTCGTATTTAGGGTAAGGAACTCTATAAGAATCACAGAGTGGTTTTTGCAAAAACTAACATAGGTCAAAATTTATACATCATTTTATACATCATTTTCTTTTGATAACACGAGGTAACGGTGATCAAACGTCTGTATATTACAAACTCTGTATGTTAGAATATTACAATTGTTGGTAATATGTTTTTACAAATCCACATTTAACAGAATATATAAATTACGACAAAACTAACATTCAGTTTTTCTGTATTTCTTTCGAGTGTTTTGTGAAGTACTAGGCAAATTATGCTTATATTCATTTGTGATGTATGCATATTAAAATTTATAATAAATTATACATATTTTTTGTAAGTTGTACGATTTAAGTTCAACATTAATGTAATGTCGTGCAGTACTGGCCGATCTAAATTTTTTTTGTACTTTAGACTAATGTGAGTAAAAATCAATACTTCAAAAACCTATTTAAAGTGTAAATGATAAATATGATAAAAATTGAAAATTATTTTTGTAAAATTTAATAGTTTAAATATGCAGTAAAAATTAAATTCTGTAGAATTATATTATATTAATTAATAGGGGTATCACTTATTTTACTTGCAACAGATGTAAATGTCAGTAATAACAATTATTAGGTATTCAGTATTACCAAGTTATCTATATTAATAAAAAGTTTTCATTTGATAGGTCACGACTCATTTTAATCACTTGTAAATAATTTAGTAGGATCAATTATCAGTAATTACTTTTATTTCCATGTCACGTTTGTCTTTCGTCAAATATGGTTAATAAAGACAATCTGTAATTGTACATGATGAATGTCACGATAAAGTGTCTTTACGCATGCAAGATAATTTCTTTCGAATTCTTAATGCCGTCAACATATTTTTTTTTTACTACCGTCGACATATTTGTGTCATCACTCTAATAGAATAGATAAATATTCGACTTTAAACATGCATAACATACTAATTCTTAAATGATTTAAAAAATATTTAAATAATTTCCTAATATTATAAATATTTTCATTTCCTGAAATATTCATTCCAAAAGGTATTCAAAACGAGTTTATTAACTTCAACCATTTTTTCAATAACGTAAGTAAATTTTTCATTACATTTTTTATTGTAGCTCGTGCGATCAGAATCTTAGATTTCAAATTTTTTTCTTGTACGACATAAGTCACAAACAATTAATTTGATACACCTTGTGTAGTTCATGCGTGGATTTATTTTTTCGTATATATTCAACCATTCATACAAGATTATTTCCTCCCAAAAAGTATAGCTAAGCGCCATACAAATCTCTGAACAGTCGTATCATAAACTTGAATCTCTAAAAAGCATTTTTAACGAATAACGCAACCATTCCTCGAAATTCGACCCTTTATTAAGCGAACAATCCCACAGGCGGTTTATCCTGTGGGAATCGTTGCTTTCTACCTCGAGGAACAGTGTTGTCCAATCAGTATGCGTAATATTTCCTCTTGCTCAATGAACCCGCAGTGTAGATATCGTGAAAAGTTGGATGACCAATTTCTCGCGAGTTTCATAAAATTCAAATAAGCAAATTAACAACTCCAACCATCGACCACTTCGAAATAACAGTTACCTTTTTAACATTCGAAGAAATTGTAACTATTTCTAATCTGTCTATAGAGAAAAAAAACAACTATGTAAAGATATGATGCGAATCTAATCTAAATTTCAATTAGACAATAATGCATGTAATATTACCGAACCGCAATTGGAGTAAACGTGCCTCGCAATGGGTATTAACATATCGTTATGAATTAATTAAATATCGTCCATAATTTGCATATATATATTTATTTAGATTCAGAAAGAAATATTTGTTACGATGCTTGTCGAATTCATCTCAGTATCCCCCAAAAGATGGGTGTAAAAACATTGTAGGTTTACTTGTAAAAAACTGAAGGTGATCTTGATAATTCTGTAGAAAAGAGGGTTGACAAAAGATTTGGTACAATCATCTTAGAGCACTGCTTGAACCATGTTATTTTAGCTAACACAATTGCCGATCGAACCGCTAGCAGCAGAATAATCTAAACTGATCACACTTCATAGTCCACCCTATATACAAAATATATCTATTATATAATTATATACAAACGAAAAGAGAAAGCAGAACATAATGAATCACGCTATTTCGCGGAATACACACTTAATGCATCGATACAAAGATGTCATAGTGTCGTTGGCAAAAGAGAAGCCAAGATTTTCGATGGAAATAATGTAACTTACCAAAATAAATAGATCAAACACGTTGATCGGAGTGTCGTGACACGAATGCACCCTCAGTAGTACTCTTAAAAAGGACAATCTGTCTGAGTGTTCACGGCACAAGTGATCTATCGGTTTTCCGTAATCCAACGCGAGGACAACTGCATGCCCCTTTCTCCGTTTTCCCCGTAATCCGCCAACAATCTCCCCGAAATACACTCCTTCGTCCAGGGACGTAGCCATTGAAAATAGCTATCGGCCCTGCAAGAGCCCCTTTCACCGTTGCAACTTTCTACGGAATTTTCAGAATATTTTTCTCTCGTTATATAAAGTGTCTTGCGTCAAGCAGTTTACCCGAATATCTTCCATATTTGCGGCAGTTAGAGAACCGTTCCTGGTATATCACGCCCTTCTATAGACAAGCAATTGGAAACAAGACTTTCCCCGCGAAGCGACATTAAAAATAGCATCTGCCCATCTCTTGTTGCAAAATGTCTTCTTAGAAATAATAAGATATTAGAAGTAAGATCCTTCGCGCGTCCACCTGAGAGATGACTTCTTAGTATTAGGTCGTCCTATAAGTTCGTGCCGTTTATTCTTCTACTATAACATTTTTTATTAAAAATACAATTCTTATACTCTACTATATCTATCAATTCCTAACTTAATAACCATTCGGTATTAATTCAATTTTTTCGTGAGAAATTGAAAAAAAATGTATTGATCGTATTGGTTGACGGCTCGTCGAAATTTTTCAAAATTCTATACCATCAAGAATAAACCTTTTGTCTACGAACCTCAGACGAATTTTAATGCTTAATCGGCTTAATCACTTAAACTGCGTTCGACAAGTATGCATGTCATCTTAAAATCAAAATGATATTAACTCCTTCAACGATCAATTATTTACTTTTTGAGATGAACGTGTAATTTTTCTTTGCTTCAGCTTCTCGTTAGAATATATTATAGGTACATTTGGCCTACATTTAACGAATATACACATCATTATTTGATTTCATTGCGAGCATTATCAGACATTTTTTAAATTATGTTTTACAATTAACAAGTTAATATGTGTATAAATATTTACTGCCTTGTGATACATACATATACTTTCCGAGAAAGTATAAGCACACGCGGCACAAACTTATCGGACGACCTAATATTTAAGTTAAGTGTTAAAATATTTAAATCTACCATTTTTGGTACACGCCGAGTTTTGTAATAAAATATTTGTTTGCGAAACATGTGTCCATGGATAGTGATGCACATTACGAAGTAACGGGAACGTAGAGAACCGATATCGAAATATGTAAAAGTCATCAAAATTTTAAACATAACATAATATTTTATTTAAACAATTAATACATTTTATAAGAAAGATACAACCGAAATTTCTGCTGGCGCAGAACGTGTTGAAGTATTAAAAGTAAAAATATTTCTACGTCCTTTTGGACTAATGGAAGTAAGAACTTTTCTATGTCCAGCTCGAAGGTGACTTCTGAAACATAAGACAAAATATTTTGTATACAACTAGAACGGGATTTAATAAAGCACTGGGTCAGTCTGCCGCGTACATGTTTATTTCACGTAGCTTCATAAGATAATAATAATAATGACACCTCAGAAAACAAAAGTAAATTTTATTCTTTTTATTTAATAGTAAATAGTATTATTTACGTGTAAAAAAATTAATTGTTTAAAAGAAGTGCCATGTAAATGGAAGGATGGATGTATGTAGTATATTTAATTGCTTTAAAATATTGGGTTGATCCAGTTCGTCCAAATAGGTGTCTAGTGCAACCATAGCTTAACTCTTTCGTCCCTGAATATATATTTTTCTCCTAAATCAAAGAGAGGAACAAGAACATCGGCTTTCAAGTGAAATTGAAGCTTTTCAGCGAAATAAATAAGATAAGCACTAATAATGATAACAATTAGCATTTAAGCTGTCAGCCATAAGCAAAAATCCCTGTGTAGTACAATTTTCCTTTATCTTCAAGGCGTTTTCTTATTTTCCGATAATTTAAAATGTTCGTGGTACCTATGTGTACCATTTTGGACGAAAGGGTTAATCTATATAGACACATCGTAAGTATTTATATATACATCATGACTCCTTTGTTTTGAGAATCAACAAGTTCCAATATCATCAGAGTAGTTGAAAATAGTTTATGTTACTCGCATGGTAAGTCCTTTTATGAATGCAATATTTGCAATATGCTGATTCTCTGACAGAGGAATGGGATTTGGTTGGATTAGGAAAAGAGCCTTTTACGTTGAATGCTTTCGAGCTTACCGCTCGGTACGGTCCTGGAAGTTGCGCTCAAACGAGCTTGCCTCAAAACGACACAATATAATTAGTCCAACGATGCGATCTTACCTTTGGAGAATCTCTTTAAGAAGGGTTTAGAGAGGTATGAGACTCGATCGATAATGCAGATGACGGTCCAAATGTTACTATCAGGACATAAGAATTGATATACAAAACTTGTCGTCGAATGAATTGTAATACGCAACTCTGTATAAATTGATAACTCTATTACCTTGATCACGCTGTACAAAAATTATAAAATATAACAGTGAACTTTAAGACGCTGCAACTATATAGTACAATTTGCTAATCGTCTTTGTCTTCTTCGGAGGATGGTGTATCGATATCATTTGAAAAATGAATGATTCAGTATATTGCTACTGACTAATCCAAAGAAATTATAAAATTATTATTTGGGAGTAACTACCAATGATCCGTTCATTATATTCTATATTCAAGGTATCAGACAATGCTCGTATATATATTTTTATTAAATTATGAGCATAGGTTTTCTTTTAATGTTTTATTAAATTCCATTATTTATTATCCTAAATGTCTATAGATATTTCGTTTACTGTCTACTATCTTTCAAATTATTTTTAATATTCTTGTATACCTATTTCCTATATTATAATTTGTATCAAAGGTACAGACATATTTTAAATAGTATTAGGTGCTTTTAATTCAGCATGTTTCGTACAGCGATTTAATTTAGCAATCAGAAAAGTGAATTCTGCTGAAAATGTGCGGCTTTGATACTTCCCGCAACTAAATGTACAGTAACGGTTATACAGCATTCTCAATGGTCCAGTTAAACCTTTGACCACGTTATCTTGGATATTCCTCGTAGGAGCGATTATAATGAAGTTTTCAATTTTTACTTCAGAGGAGAGAGTATTAAATCGTTCCTCAAATTTCTCTATTCACTTCTTACAAAGAAAGAACAGTCGATAATGTATTTTTCATGCTGTTCATTATAAGATAAATTATAATAATATCTTTTGATATTATATTTTATTTATAATAATGTAAAAAAGTTTCGTTAAAATCCTAAGAATGTTGCATATTGAAATATTCTACAAAATGAAAAATACAAACAGCTTTTAAAAACAATTGAACCTTTCAATATATTATAATTATAATATTATAAATAAAACCTCTAATATATTATTTATACATTTGAAACAAATTTTCGGTGATATATTTTTAAATACGTCCTTGTAGTTCTTCCTACATTGACAATAATAAAACTTTCATTTTTCAAGAATCTTCGTAATGTATTGATATATATCATGTCTCAAAAATACATAACCGCCCGAGAAACGTTAATATTCTTCATTCAAATGCAAATCGAAGAGTCCTTCACCTCTCGTGGTTGAAGTTGAGACTTGTTTTTCGAGATACAAATATTTGAAAACTGAAGATTGGATTTCCGAGGCGCGCTGTTGAAATCCCAGTTAACTGAGCGCTCGCTCATACATACATATGCGCATATAGTCAAAAAACAAGAACGATGTGCACACGGAACATGTCCTTTTCGAACATTCAGCTTGTTATCGGTCAAAATCATAGTCAACCAAATCTGTCGGTCAAGTTTAATATCGGCGAATTGTCAGTGAAAAACACCGTGAAAACTTGTCAGTAATTTCGATGGAACTCAACAAATTTATTTACACGTCCACAAAAAATTAATACTTCCTATGGACAATTATGAGAAAACTGTAAAACCTGGATAGTCATCTTGTCCACAAGAAAGTGGTCTAGATAAGGACATGGCACAACTGAAACGTTGGAACTGTATCTTCCTGAAGTTTTTAAAGCCAGCAAAGATATAAATTTTTACCATTACAAAGTTTAAGATCATAATATACCTGAGTGAAAGCTGATGAGTAATTAAAGAAAATATTTGTTGTCAGACTGTCTGTCATAAGTGTCTGAAAAACTATAATAACGGTTACATAGAATGATAGCACACATGTACTATTTCTCTGCTAAAGTACTTTAACGTTAAAATATATGTGTACACCTGTCAATAAAAACAAATACTAGGTACTCATTCTTATTTAACGCTCGTCGTGTACTATAAAATCCGTCGAGCTTTGATGGCGTTTGCGCACCTGTAAAATTTAGTAGCTCGAAGGATCATTTTCCCCGTGGAAGGACTATAACTACATTCGTCGACTGAAATTCTGACAAATTCAGTTCATTTATAACTACTATTACAAGAATTCTAATACCAACTAATTATTTTCCACTAACTTGTATACTCAACAACGACTAACTTACTAAGCAACGGAAAAGTCTAAATGAATTCAAAGATTGGCCAATTTTCTTTCTTTAATGTACATATATAGAATTTTATCATGAATAATTTTTGTAACCGAGCGACACGGAACGTGTTAAAAAAATTCTGAAGCGTCATGGAAAACTGGAGCATATTCATGCAAAAAATGAGCATGATGAAACGTGACGGTGTGGCTTCACGCAAGACCCTTCAGGGCATCGGAAAGTTGAAACGAAATTCCGTATTTTAACTTTCCCTTGAATCGAGTTAAGTATCTCATTAGAATTTTTGTCCCTTGAGTTTCCAAGCAAACCGCATTGGGAAATAGTTGTGATCGAATATGCGCTGAAGCGAGAACAGCAAGGTCGCAACGAAGAGCTGACCGTTGTCGTATAGATGACATCCACAGCTTATATTTCGTTTGAGGTGATATACGGTTTCGTGCTCGATTTGCCGAATCGTAAACTGGACTATAATTGCTCAACGGAAATTGACTACCTACACATTTCCTATCAATATTGACAGTAAACGAAGGGGACACAGGTTGCTATCCCTTAAGATTTATTGAAACAGAATCTTATAAATTACTGTCGATACTTTTACATGTATAGATCTTTATGTACTTTTAAGCACTTTAAAAATGCACTTTGTTATATAATTATATTATAGTTTATTTAAGTACATTCTTTATATATTATTTATGTATAGAGGGAATATGCAATTTTTTTCTTTTTCTCTATTTCTTG